GAATCCCGCCGAGAACCTGCCGCCATCGGCTGATCGACGGCGAGGGGCTGGGAGCAGGGTCTGACCTGGGGTCCCCAAACTGGGAATGGAGTCTCTGAACTGGGAATTAGGTCCCCAAACTGGGCAGGGGGGTTCCAAACTGGGCACAGGATTCCCAAACTGGGCACATGGTTCCCAAGCTGGGCAAGGGGGCTCCAAACTGGGCAGGGGGTCCCCAAACTGGGCACATGATTCCCAAACTGGGCACATGGTTCCCAAGCTGGGCAAGGGGGCTCCAAACTGAGCAGAGGGTCTTCAAACTGGGCACATGATTCCCAAACTGGGCACACAGGGGGTCCCCAAACTGGGCAGGGGGTCCCCAAACTGGGCACATGATTCCCAAACTGGGCACATGGTTCCCAAGCTGGGCAAGGGGGCTCCAAACTGAGCAGAGGGTCTTCAAACTGGGCACATGATTCCCAAACTGGGCATGCAGGGGGTCCCCAAACTGGGCAGAGGGGCTCCAAACTGGGCAGGGGGGTTCCAGACTGGGCAGATGGTTCCCAAGCTGGGCAAGGGGGCTCCAAACTGAGCAGGGGCTCTTCAAACTGGGCACATGATTCCCAAACTGGGCACACAGGGGGTCTCCAAACTGGGCATGCAGTCCCCAAACTGGGCAGGGGGTCTCCAAACTGGGCAGGGGGGCTCCAAACTGAGCAGGGGGTCTCCAAACTGGGCACAGGGTCCCCAAACTGAGTATGCAGTCCCCAAAGTGAGCAGGGGGTCTCCAAACTGGGCACATGGTTCCCAAACTGGCCTGGCAGGGGGTGTCCAAACTGGGCGCAGAGTCCCCAAACTGGACAGGGGGTCTCCAAACCAGACAGGGGGTCCCCAAAGTGAGCAGAGGGTCTCCGAACTGGGCACATGGTTCCCAAAGTGAGCAGAGGGTCTCCAAACAGGTTCCCAAACTGGGCAGGGGGGCTCAAGCTGGGCACATGGTTTGCAAACTGGACAGGCAGGGGGTGTCCAAACTGGGCATGCAGTCACCAAACCGGGCAGGGTGGCTCCAAACCAGACAGGGGGTCCCCAAAGTGAGCAGGGGGTCTCCAAACTGTGCAGGGGGTCTCCAAACCAGGCATGCAGTCCCCCCAAACTGGGAATAGGGTCCCATTCCCATGCTGGGAATGCTGCACAGGACCTTCGTGCTCCTTCCCAGGGCCGGATCCGGCATCAGCTGCTGGCGGTGACTCAGGGCTGGCCGTGGTCACATCCTGTCCCCAATGGTGTGACCCTTGCCTGGCACCGTGCCCCAAACCTCCGGTGGGCACCAGGTCTGGGTCCACGGGGGGGCTTCAGCCCTGTTTGGCCATGGCAGGTTTGGCCCCAGGGGTCGGATCCGACCCCAGCACCCACAGCCTGGGGGGGGGACGGGACGGGACACCCCCCTGTTTGTCCCAGTGCCACCTGCGTGCCGGGGACCAGCTGTGCCACGAGGAAGGAGCTGCTTTGTTGGCGTTTCCTCCGGCTGCCGTGTCCGGGTGTGCGTCACCTCCTGCGCCCGCTGCTCCCCATCCCAGCTGCCCCACGCGTGGGGTGGGGTGCAGCCGGGTGCCCTGGGGTGCCCTCCCCTCTCCCCATCGCTGGCTCAGCCCTTTTCCGCTTGCTGCTGGCTGGCCCGGGGCGGGCTGGATGAGAAGGGAAACTGAGGCACAGTGCTGGCCACATGTGTCAGGAGCTGGGAGGGCTGGATGAGAAGGGAAACTGAGGCACAGTGCTGGCCACATGTGTCAGGAGCTGGGAGGGCTGGATGAGAAGGGAAACTGAGGCACAGTGCTGGCCACATGTGTCAGGAGCTGGGAGGGCTGGATGAGAAGGGAAACTGAGGCACAGTGCTGGCCACATGTGTCAGGAGCTGGGAGGGCTGGATGAGAAGGGAAACTGAGGCACGGTGCTGGCACACATGTGTCAGGAGCCGGCCGGGCTGCTTCCCACGCCACAGCCCTTTTCCCGTACCACTCCTACCCCACGCCCACGCGTAATGATGGGTGGCTGACCGAGCGCTGCGTGCCGCATCCTGCACCGTCTTTACGGGCGTTGGGGCCGTCCGCGACGCTGCTGGGGCTGCCTTTACTGGTGCTGGGGAGGAGGAAGGGGCTCTTGGGGTGCTGGGTGGCAGTGGGGGGTGTGTGTGCCCCGGTTCCCCTCCCTGTCTTCTCCCAACCGTTTTGGTG